TCCTTTTCTCACAGGATAAGGTTGAAAAGAGACTCCGAAGCATTAATCCGCAGTGCTCCACGGGACCTGATAATATACACCTTAGATTACTGGTGGAGTCAGCTGGTGTAATAGCTGCCCCGTACACTCTTCTCTTTCAACGCAGTATGGGTGGGGGAATCAAGCTGGAAAAGAGATGTTATTTGCCCCATCTATAAAAAAGGTGGTAGACACTTCCCTGTTAGCTACCGTCCCATTTCTTTAACCAGCATTCCCAGAAAAATTTTCGAGTCTCTAATAAAAGACAAAATCCTGAAGCATCTTAGGACCAATAACCTGCAGGTCTTACATCACCAACATGCTGAATGTCATGGTTAGCCTGATCAAAGCCTACGATTCCGGCAAGATCTCTCATGCCGTTTTCATTGACTTTGCGAAAGTTTTGACAAGGTCCCACACATCCCTCTTTTCCACAAACTTACAGCACACGGGTTTGTAGACCCCTTGCTGGCACTTATCCGTAGCTTCCTCTCGAATCGCACATTTGCCGTACGGGTTGGTAAATCTCGATTACAGCCCGCAGATACAACCGGTGTTCCCCAAGGATCCGTTCTAGGCCCCATTCTTTTCCTTATTTATATAAATGACCTACCGATGTAGTGTCATCAAGAATTGCTCTGTACGCCGATGATGTCACCCTCTGGGATACAGATGCTTCTCTTTTGATACTTCCAAACGCTGGTCACTTGACTGGAATCTTTCAATCAACAATGACAAGTCTGTTGGGATGTCATTCACCGGTCAACCATCTTACCCTTTTACTATAGACGGTTCCCATACTCTACCCCAATATGAACCAATACAAAGTTCTTGGTTTCTGGCTAAACAACAACTTGTCTTTCTCTTATCATAATCATCTAGCAAGTAAGGCCGCTTTTCATGTCCTGAACCTCATGAAAAGATGTTTCCCCGTATTCTAAAGGAGGATTTTTCCCTTATTTACGGAAAGTACATCCGCCCTCTCCTACAGTATGGAAGCCAAGTTGCTCACTCCGGTCTCATCCAAGATCGCGACTTCCTTGAGCGCGTTCAAAGGGCTGCTACAAAATCTGTCCTTGGATTAAGAAGTCTCCCTTACCCAACGCAACTTCAACAACTGGGCCTCTAACCGTTAGAAATCAGACGCATTCGGGGAGATCTATTTCTCCTCTTCCATCTCTTCGACATGGGTATTGTCGAAACCTTCTTCATCACTGCTGACTATAACCCCACCCGAGGTTATCGCAAAACATTTTTAAGCGCCGTCCGAGAACCACTCTGCGTGCCTCACTTTTTTACCTTCAGGGTGATATCCTTATGGAATACCTTTCATGAAGAGACAGTCAGCGCCCCTAGCAAGGGGGTCTTCAAACTTTGTCTTGGCCGTCACTTAGGTTTATCTACTCACTCCCAATAAAAGAAAAATTTTGGAAAAAAACATTTTGAATTATATGAGAGTTCGCAATTCTTCATTATACTTCTCGCCTCCAGCGGGGAACCCTACTAATACCTTTTCAGTAATCTCTTTTCTAGAAAACAACCTAACGAAAAGAAAACAGATACCTTTCAAGGACCCGGGAAATTTGAGCAACAGCCTCGAACTCGTGAATCACTTCAAGACACTTCCACCGCAAGCGAACAGCCAAGGAAAAAATTACTAACCACGAAAACAAAACCGTAAGAAGAATGGGACCAGAAAGTTGATGCGGTATTGTGGACCGTACTTTCGAGGAGCAAAGGCAACTGCACAAATCACAGACTTTGCATCAGGAGGCAACAATGATCTGTTTCTTGCAGTGACGCGAAAGTGCAGGAACGTATTCCGTTTCAAAATATCCGTGCCCCCAGGGAGGATCGAATTCCCGACCTCTGGTTTACGAGACCAGTGCTCTATCCACTGAGCTTTGGAGGCCTCTTGCGGTGAGCGACGAAGAGTAGTATTTGATGACAAAATTTCCACTGCACACTATAGAGTTGATACGCTCATGTGATCAATTTGGATGTGATTTGTTAATGAATGCACTTTTCCTATCACTCTTGGTCTTACTGACATCGGCAATTTTAACATAACATTTTTAGGGTTCTCGCCCGAGTGGTAGAAATTAGCACCTTGAAGCACATGTTCAATCTCGCATCATTTTGTGTTGAAAAGTGATTAAATGGCAATTTGTAAGTAGTATCTCTGTTTTTACTGATGAAAATGAAAGAGCCACATGATTTTCAATCAACGCACGAAGATTTGTGCTTAGAAAACCTGCCGTACAGAAATGGATTTTATTTGTTCTTCAGGTTATTTAAATGTGCCCACTATTCATCTTTGCACCTCCTTGTCATTGCCAGATCTACATGGAGGACAACTTTGGTGAACGCATATGTTCCATACATGTGAAGATAACTAATGAAATCTGAAAAGTAGTTAAGTTGAGCGAAGATAATAGGACTACAGCCGCTCAGAAATCACTTTTCGACTAGCGTGTCATCGGCCAATGCGTTGCAGCAACTTGACACCGGTTATACTTTTGGATATATAATATAGAGGATTGGTTGAATTTTCCACTTAAATGCGGATAAAACTTCGCTTCCGCATATTCCATTTTATAGGTAGAATACATAAAACTGACAAACTTGGTCAGATCAGAGCAATTCAAGGTGAAACCGCACGCCCTCCAATATGAACATTTTAATATGGGGGCTGAGCAAAACGTTTCCAGATCTACAGCACGCGTACGAACTGCGGATGACCGGACAAGAAAAAACGTGAACTCTAATCCATTGTGAATATTGATCAGTGATTGCAACTCACAGAACCAGATATAAACAGCCGAACACAGCTATGATTTCCTACGAACACTAATGGAGTTCCAAACAGCAGTAGCAGATGAGATTCAGTGTGGTCGACCTGTGCAGATAGCCACAGTAGACAACATTGTTGATGTGCAAGCGATGATGGAGGAGGATGTGCGGGTAATAACAGAAAACTAGACAAAAGCCATAGGGATCTCATCGGGATCAATCCACATCATTCTACATGAGAAGCTCAGCCTCAGAAAGAATTGAGCACACTGGGCACCGCAGCAGCTCAGTGAGGAATAGAAGGCCGTTCGGGTGAATTGGTGCCGCACCACGCTTGCCATGTTTGATGGTGGAATTTGCAATGCAGTTTGGGAGATCACTAGTGGTGATGAAACCTGAATGTTCATTTTCGACCCAGAGACCAAGCAACAACCGGTTGGTGGGGAGCCACCTCAAAAGTTCCGAAGCAAGCGCAGTGTGGCAAAGCAGATAATGGCTGTACCCTTAGCCAAAACCGGTCAACGGGCTACTGTACCACACGTGCAGCGAAGCTCAGTTACCAGAGACTGGTACAACACCCTTAGTCTGCCGGAAGTGCTGGAGGCTATTTCCAGGCTTCGTTCAAGGACTCGAGCAAGAGGGACCTTTCTGCACCACGACAACGCACCCACACACATGTCCTGTGTCATCGGTCATCTTCTGGAGACAGACCGTATCCAGGATGTTGTTCATCACACCCTACAGTCCAGACCTGGCTCCATGTGACGTTTCGTGTTTTTAAATGTTAAGGGCATGATTCGTGCAATCAAGGGTGTGCCTCCATAGTTCAGTGGTTAGATTACTTGTCTCGAGAGCTGAGAGTTGGGAGTTCACTCCGGCCTTGATGCACGTGCCTTTTATGAGGAAATTTGTAAATCTTCGAGAATTGGATGAACCAAGTAAGTTATCTACTGAAATAATCAACTGAGGATCACCGGATATGCGGCAATCGGTCGGACAGGACTTGGGAGCACCGTTCAGAAAATAAATTATCCGAAAAATTAGACGCAGGCTTCAAATAGTAGATGCCTAACTACCTCACTGCCTTGTGGATTAAACTACTGCATCGTAGATTTGCCTAAGATCCCTTTAGTAAACCTCACATTCTGGTTTGGGAGACCGAGATTTTAAAATAGTCCACAACACTGATAGGATGTCCAAATTAATTTAGTACGAAATAACAAACTCAGAAAAAAATCGAACTGCATTCGTTATTTAATGCTTAACCTTACCTTTGGAGATTTTCGGTTTCTTATCGGTTCCTGATGTGGGACTGGGTTCTTTCGCATTGCCCACTGTTTTCTTTTGACCAGAGGATTGCTCACCACCACCACCACCACTCTTAGATGGTAGTGTCCTGAAAACAGAATGCGGTAGTTCATAGAATGATCGTAAATAAATGGCACCTGAGTTGGCTGTATTGGAAAAAATTGAAAAGTCGTTGCATCATTTACGGTTAAGACTCTTTTTAGTGTATCAAAATTGTTTTTTTACTAAAAAATGATACAACATTAGTGGACTTGATTGCTAGTAAAAGACAACGAAGATATTATGCTATCAGAGAATATAAACGTACAAAAGGTGCTTTCCGTCAGCGGTGAAGGATTTTCATTGACCGAGACCTTCGGAAAACCTTTACATTCTTGCATTTGATGTTTCGCAAGCAACTGTGATCGAAGCCAATATTATCCTGAATTGCATCGCACGACATCGTGTTTAGTTTGGGGTGGACTCGTGAGATCATTAATGTAGTTAAATCTATGTTGGCCTGCGCATAGAGACCGCAATCACAAGGGAACTTGCGAAGAAAATCAACATTAGCTTGCATAGTAAATCAATATCCGATTGAAAGTGTAAATATTTTGGTCTTTGGTTAGAAAACGTTCAGGTGCATTGCACAATTCGTTTAGGTACGAGCTGAGCTAAACGGTCTTCAGAAAGTAAACAAAGCTAGTACCATTGCGCCCCCCGATTTGCTAAGCATTGAAATAATCGTTTCTGATGTTGATGGTTAACGTTCTTCGACTTAAGACGCACCACAGGGAAAGCAACACAAACCGGCGCAAAAACACGCAAATTATAGATTATGGGTATGAGCGAAATGATCTGCGAAGCTGACGGCTCACTCGTTCATAAGCAAAAGCGGTCTTGCACGCTGGGAGGAGCACTTTAAGGCACAGTTTAGCTGGACACAAGCGTCAGCTTCTTACACAGCTACTCTGGCATACATTCCATGGTCTGTCTTAACAGACCTACCTTTTGAGGCCGAAATCCGTAAGGCGATTCAAACATTGGGACGTCCCAAAGCGCCGGGCTCTGACTGCTTTCCCCAGTTGTATTCAAAGATAGTGAAATAGAGCTTTTTAGAGAATTGGCAGCTCTGTTCTCTAAAGTTTGGCGTACTGAGCAAGTTCCCTTCTTTTCGGGAGAGGGGGGACCGATTTTCATCACTATCTTTAAAAAGGGCACGCACAGTGACTGCACTACTCATAAGGGTATAAGCTTTATCCCAATAACGTCAACGCTGTTGGCTTCTGTCATTCTCCGCCAATTGTACACTGTGCGTGAGAAGGGGACCTGCGAGAAGCAGATTGGGTTTCGCACTGGTCGTGGATGCATCGATCAAATCTTCTCCCTCCGGCAGATGATAGAGCACCGTCATGCCTATCAAAGACCAACGATAATTGTGCTCTTAGACATCTACAAGGCCTTCTACTTTGTCGATAGGACCACACAATGGAACTGTTTGTCGAGGAATGGAGTACCAAAGAATTATGTGTAGATCCTCAAAGAGTTGTATCGTCAGGTCGGGTTAGAGACTATGGCCAGCTTTTTCCACCCTTTGCGGTCTCCAGTAGAGTTCCACAAGGCTACCCTACATCCCCATTCCTTTTCAACTTCGTCATAGAGGCGGTTTTACAGAATGCTTCATCCGGTCTAGAAAACTGTGGAGTAGAACTCCTCTCAAGCAACTTAATTTTTACTTAGAGTATGCCGATAACATTGCCATGTTGGGTGACAATGCATAGCACACAACACGCCTTGAACCACTTGGCGATAGAGCTATCCAGGTATGGGCTTTGCACTATCAAAGTGCAAAGTGCTTGTTCAAAAGTGGAAGGAGCCTGTGCCTACACTCACCCTCTGTGGCGATTAGCCAGAACTGGTTGAGAGCATTAAGTAACTCGAAACCTTGAATGCAGCTGGTGAGGAGATCACATCATGAATANCATCGCCTTGCTTCTTAGTGTTCTGATTGAGGGTTGCGAGACCTCACCACTTCGTGTTGAAAATGTCAATCGACTCTCCGTGTTCGACTATCGATGTCTCCGAAACATCGCATGTGTCTGGTGGGGACATCTAGTGAGCAATGACGAGTTTCGTCGTCGTATGGTGGGCGTGGATTGTCGTCCGCTAAAAGAAATAATCGCTCTACACCACCTCTGATGGTTCGACCACATTTGACATATTCCTGCCCATCGTCTACATTTCCGTACTCTTTTGCAC